GTTTTACCTGTAGAAGTCAATATTTCTGAATTTGCCTAATGAAAAGGCAAGTTTTTATTTATAGGTTCCTCAATAAAACCTCCACAAGTGTGAGGATAGATCACCTGGCTGTCCAATCCATGTAGCTCATGCCACTGCAAAGAGCTGCTTCTCTTGATGAACAACAACTTTCACAATCATCTTGAATTAACAGTCATTAGAGGATTATGTTAATTTTTGTGTTGCTTGATGGCATTTAGATAGAAAAGAGTCCTACAAGTTGTCTTCCCAGTTATGTAATGCAGCTTTTTTACTTATGAGTGTCATTAATTATGTTTCAGCTCAGGAAACTGCCTAGATGCCACACGTTTACAGGAAAAATAGAACTGTAAGTTGAGGGGAAGAAAAGAAAAACAATCCAAAGGTCAGTCTGGGAAGGAAAAGAAAAGCCAGTGATCAAGACATGTCATTGAGTTACTCAGACTGTTTAGGCATAGCAGCAGGTGAAGAAGATCCTGATAGGAAAATTGTATTTTGATAGCACTGTCTCAAAGTTTAGGTTTAGTTAGTAGCCTACAGTGAAACTAATCACATTTCTGGGGAAATGTACAGAGGACAGTCTGTTAGTAAGGAATTTGACTTGCTCAGCGAAAAAAAAAACACAACCAAACCAACCAACTGACCAGAAAACACCACAAAATAAACAAACAAAAAGGGAATTTTTAAAGACATTAGGATTGATGTGAGGACTTTCAATCAAATAAGTTATGTGAAGACAGATTGTTTCACTGCTAAAATGAGGTCATATTGTATGAGGATCTAAGAGGAAAAAGGATATGAAAAAAGACTTTTAGAAGAACTTGCCTGAGCTGAGAGATAAAACAAAGGTCAGGTGGCTTTCAGGACAGCAGAATGGATCACAGCTTGAGATGGATACTACAGAACATAGTAAAAAAGCCCAATAAACCTGCAGGAATTTTTAACAGAAAAGCAAACTGGAAATTGCAAGGATCTATCTGCAAAATGCAGTCAGAAAGTGCCCACAAGAAGCAAGAATGAAAGGGTGCACAAATTGTTTAACCAGAGACCAATGTGACTTCCAACACACTTACTAAAGGGAAAATGATATTGAAAATAAAATTCAGTTAAGGAGACCAAAGCTGAAGATACAGACCAAGAAAAATTATTTGCAGAACACACACTGAAATAAAACTTCTCCTTGGGAGTGAGTAAAGACAAAGCTTCCTCCAGTGGTGGGGATATCATGTGTAGACATTTCCCAAGCATTTCTAAGTTGAACACTGGCACACCAATTAATGGGCCCTCTGACATCGCTGGAAACCATCTGGAAGGGAAATCTCAGCTTATTAAGAACAGATGGATAAGAACCAGGTCAGCCTTCCCTATTGCTCCTATTTGTAAGGTAGATGTAAAAGTAACCTTGTAAAGACAGTTTGAGTTGCTCTGGGAAATCGTGCTTGGGACTCAAAATGCCAGAAAACAGGCACTGAAAAAGAACAGGAACAACCAGAAAAAGCTGTTGCCTGGGATCTGTCTCCTACAGGCCCCTAACTAAAGGCTCCTGCCCTTCCCCAAACCCTCAGCCCCCATCATTACTACAGTGATCTGGGCTCATTTTCCCCTCAATCTAGAAACAGCCTGGTTAAATAATGCAATTGTTGAGCATGTCATGCCAAGAACAATATCTGTGTTTTCTTCACCTGGCACCCATACAGTGGTCATGCCAGGTTATGGGGCTCAGGTTGATTTTTAACAGTTTGAATGTTTTGGAAAATAATATGTCATTCAGCACATTCAATCAAGCATTAGGTTTCTGCAGTTTAATCTTCCTGTAATAAATTCTGTCAAAATTGTTAAAAGGTTTCTTAAAAATACTGAGAAGTCAAATTCGGCACCAGTAAATGAAAAGAAAGCCTGAAAACTTGCTGAGGTGTTATTTAATAGAAAGCCTACACCAGTTGCATGAATATGTAAGCAACTGTGTTAAAGTTAGGCATGCTGTAAAGCCCTAAGAGAACCACAATAAAATCAATTAGAAATACATTATGATGAAAAGTTCACTTGAGCTTAATCCTTGCAGGCAAAGACAGTACATTTGAACAGATAGAAAAAATACATTATTTATATGAGTACAAAATGCATCCATTGATCCTTATGAATAGTTGCTGGTTCCTGAAAAGCAATTGCTAAAGAAATGACCAAGAAGCTGCTGCTGCCCACAGCAGCCTGTCCAGGAGATGACAAAGAGAGGCTGCTGCTGCAGAACAAGCGCCCTGCAGCCCTGCCCATCCTGTGTCAGCCTGGCTGAGGCAGGAAGAAGCAAACCCCTCACAAGTCAGTGTTCTTCAGCCAGACCTGTCCCATCACCATCTTGGTGACTGTGAAACTGTCAATCACATGCATGAGTCAGAAACAACTTAACCCTTTCTCAACAGATCTTAATTTTTTTCAGGGGGGAAAAAAAAGTGAATGAAAAGCCAATAGATCCATGCTTGGTGCCTGCCAACTAGTGCACACATTGATGATGGTTTGCAAGCATTTCTCATCTAAAAGGGTGCTGAGGAATGTTTTCTGCTTAGTACTTTGAAGGCACCCACGTTCTCCAGAAGCAGCCAGAGGTTCAGGTTGGGAGGAAGATTTAGCAAATTTATGATCCTGAACAAAAGTCCCATGAAAAAGTATTCATAGATTTTCACTTTTACTAGGAGCTTCTGCTCTCAATGCCTCACTGGCTGAAATATTCCCAAATCTTTTAACTTTAGATTCCCAGATCTGTTTGGGCTAGAGGTTCAGGATCATCTTATGCCAATTAAAAATCATGCTCCAGCCTGCTCAGCATTCTGTTGGTGTTGACACAAGCAGAACTGGAAACTGCTCATGCTGAACACCGTATTTTGGGTTTGGGTTTTGTGAGGGTTTTGGCTAGGTCAGTTTTCAAGCAGGTGAATTCCCTGCCTCTGCTCCCCCCATCCAGGTATGGGGGAAACAGCAGCAGCACCCACCTGGATGGGGGAGTGCTCCTTTGAGCAGTAGCATGAAGGGAGAGTTGCAGAGGGTGACCCTGAAAGAGCACGGGCTCCTCAAGGAGAACTTCCATGTCAGATCTGGTACTGCAGCACCTGCAGAGCCCCAGCAGTGCCACACCACTGCACACTGTTACAGCTGCTCACACCAGATCCTGCCTGATCCTCTTGATATAACACCCAGCACCTAATTCTGGAGGCAGCTGGAGGCTGTGAGAAACTCTCCCTCTAGTCAGAAATAGTTTTGACTTACTGGAAAATCTTATTTTTCTTCCAAACTGTGCATGTTTGCACCCATCCTCTGTTCTCTGCCTGGTTTCCTCTTTTTCAGATCAACAACCCCCCCTTTTCCTGTGGCTGGCCTGCTTCTCAGCAGGCTCTTCCTTACCTTCTCTAACCTCTGATGAATTTGGTAATCATACTCTGAAGCCCACCTTGCTGGAAATAACTTTCTCCCACATGATGAGTGGTTTCTTCTGTCATGGAGGAGAAGAATGGGGGAAGATGATTTATACCCAGGCATCATTCCACAGAGTATTTTGTATAATAGCAAAACTCTTCCCAAACCCTCCATCTCCCAGCCCCTGTCCTGCCCAAAGGCTGCACATCCAAGCCCCCTTAAGCTGATGAAGCCATGGAGGACATCTGTGGAATGTTGCAAGGACCAAGGTAGGGTGACAGCTAAAAATGGTCACTGTTCAGTCCCTTGCCATCCACTTTAAGTCACTTTAGGTGACTTTCATTTTTACTTCCTGACTGTGTGGAAAGTTCTCTGCTCACCTGTGGCTGACAAGACTAGATCACTAATTTGCAAAAGAAGAGCCTTTAGGTTTCTGCAAAAGCAGTGAGACGTGGAATTGCATGAATTAGTGCAGCTTAGAGACTTACTGCAGTTACCTGTCTTTCAAAATTCTCTAAAGGCACTGATTGTGCCTGAAGATAGCAGCTTTAGGAAAGCTGATGAGATCCTACACACAGCCCTCCTCCTGGTTCCTCCCAGCTATGACACACACAGGTGAGCTACTTGTGACTCCTCTGCTGAATTACAACTGACACCATTCATTTTTGTTTCCATGCTGTCACTCATCCCAAATGTTATCCCATTATCCACCAAGTTTCAAGTACTGTGACCACAATTCAAGCTTTCTCCACCATCCATCCTAGCTGGAGCACACACCATTGGGACACTTCTCCATCATCAGATGTTTCAGGCAGCAGCAGGGAGATCCAGAACAGCCCCCACCAGTGCCAGCCTGCAGGGTGGCAAGGAGGTGGCCATGCCCTCACAAAGCCCCTGTGTCTCACTGCTCACTGCTGCAGGAGCTGGCTCCACTGCCCTGGGGGGACACTACTGTGGGCAATTATTCAGGATTCCTCACTGCTGGTGTCACGGTATGGTGGGGATCTGACTTCAGCAGCTGCCATATCCCTGCTTTTCTTGACCTGAATCCAGTAGGAACAGAGGAAGGACAGGGTGTCACAGAGACATGCAGACTTGACACAGCAGAAGAAGGTAAGAAGAAATGTCAGCAATGTGACCAGGAAACAAAGCAAAGTTCTTTGCCAGCATTAATTACAAAGCTTTCAGGGTGCAGGAGCTTCCTGCCATTTACTTCAAAGACAGGCCATGATTCCTCTCTTGAGCACCATGATGTAGGTACTTTTACTTTTCCTTCTTCCACATTCCCTGCCCTGCCTCCCTTTGGCATATCAGCACCATCACAGGCAGGAATCAACCCAAGGTGAGCATATCAGTGGATCAAGGTCATTTCAACTCAGCAGGTGTCACTGCATCATGGTATGCAAGGCAGGTACGTCCCCATTCCAGGCTAGAGATATGCTGAATGCTAAAGCTTGGCACTGCTTCTGGGGAAAGAATAGCCCCTAACAAAAAACTATGCCCCCCAAACAATCAGGGGATTGATGGTTCACTGCACTACAAAGTGCTCTAAAGCTACAACTAAAACTGAACAAACATTTAAAAAAAAATGTACTGAAGAGTAATTTATTCACAGTGTGAATTCAAAAAGACATTCCACCATTCACTACAGGACCACACAGCTGCTCTCGAGGCTGTATTCCAAGATATAGGCAGGGTAAACTTGTTGCTTCTCAAAGATGACAAAGATGGAAGGGTCTGTGGGGTCATCCACGCAGCTGTCATAAAGTCTGTTTGAGTTTTTGTCTCTGGGCGGAGGGCGGCAGTACTCAGGGCTGCCCCGCACAAAGTCTCCAGCGAGAACCTGAGCTACGAACACGCGGTAACACCCACCGAGAGAGGAGCAGTACTCGTGGGAATAGCTGGCATCTCTGGCAAAGTAGCTTCCTAGGGAGCAGAAAAGGCCACAGGTCACACAGCACACCAGCCAAGGGACAAGCACCTGCTAACATCACCTTGGCAGCCAGCAATCCAACAAGCCCAGCGAGCCCTACAACATGTGGGAACATTCTTGCCAGGTGTCGCCACACTGGCTTATTGTAAAGTACCGACCAACTCCAGTCCACATTTCACCATCACCTCCCAGTCTCACCTGTCCAAGAGCAGGCACCTGAGGCAAAGAGAGGTGATTTTAGACCTTCCTGGAATGGGATTACTGCTGTGGGTGCTACCTACCTGACCGTGTCCTAAAGGCAGGAGCACGGGGGTCAGAAACCATCAGTCACTTTGCACCCACATCCCCAAGCCTGGCTGGGGTCTGCAGTCCCTGCTGCTACAGCCCCTACACACTTCTGCACTTGTACCTTTTCCATACATTGTCCCATGAGTCCCACAGAGTCTCCAGTCAAAGTTCTGCTCACAGATGGCAGACACATGGGATGGACTTGTGCCATGGAACAGGAGCCTCTCATTCACCCCTTTCGATTTATGGAGCTTCTTCATCTTTTCTTTTTGCCTAGAGACAACAAAAAAAACACCAACCAACCAATCAACAAAAACAGAAAAACCCCAAAACAAAATTTAAAAAACCCACCAAAAACACAACATAACAAAAAAAAAAAAAAAAAAAAAAAACCAAACAAAACCAAAAACCAAAAATACCAAAAAACAAACCCCTACTTGTTTTCCTGGTTCAAACAAGGAAAATTTCCCAACTCAACTCCTCCTACTTCTGGGTCATGGAGGAACAGTGACACAAACCACTCTCGGTGGGGTTACTGCCTCCTTTGCACTTCTTCTAGTACTCTGCCACACAGCTGGCTCCTGCCAGCAAAACAAAAAGTTCTCTGCAGCATTATGGACTGTGTCTCCCACAACTTCATACCACATGAGAGAGTAAAGAGACAAACATCTCTGACTAGGAATTGGTCAGTTCCCACGTTATATAAATCCTGAATACATAAATATGATTATAAAACAGAGCTGTGTGAAGCTACAGTGAGAATTGTATAATCTCTGCCCTTATCACCAAAAAAAGTCTCCTCCTTTTTTTTTTTCTAACTCCTATGTGGAAGAGGCTAAAACCAAAAGAATCAACCTGAAACACCAAAGCTCTTTATGATGAAGGAAAGGAATTTACTTTTTGAATAACACTATCAAGAATCACACACATATCTTGCTAGGGATAAAAGGCTCATTTCTGCACACACAAAAGAATACAGATAAAATGCTAACAACTCAGTCACAGAGAGAGGAGCCCCAGTCCCCTTCCATGACTGCCCCAGGGAAGCCTCAGCCTCAGGGAGCCAAGTTTTGGGACAGTCATAAGTCTGGGCCACCGGCCAGACCTGGGCAGAGAGATATGTGGCAGCCTCACCTCTGCTGGACTGCTGAATTTGGCAGCTCCAAATGTAGACTATGGAGGACAAGAGATCAGGAAATACCAGTCTTCTCATACAGTAAGGATAACGAAATAAAATAGATACAAACCACTGAAAGATGTCCCAAAGTGTTGGGTTCTGAATCCTCTGCAGCTGGTGGATGCAGTAACCTTTCATTGTCTTCTCAAACAGCCTCTTGATTTTTATATATTCTTGGGAATCAGTGCTGAGCTGTATCAACTGAAAATTTTTAAAGCACTAAAAGTAAGGTATTACTGAGAGTAACAACTCCCAGTCCTTTCAAAGGACTCCTCGGCCTTCTCACATCTGCTAAAAAGCCCTTCCACAAAAATCACAAGCTGCTTCTGCTTTTCCTATCAACCCTCCTTTACCATCAGTCCCCATGTGGAAGCACAGGCACCAACTGAGGGAAACCAGTGCACCCCCACACAAGCTTCCTTTTGAGGGTGCACATTCATGTCAGGACTATTTTTAGCTCAGAGTAACCTAAAGTTGAAATGCACAGCAGCATTCAGGCTGAAGCAGAGTGAAAGCTTCCCCTTAATCTGACACACTAGTCTACTCTGCCCTATAGGGCTAAGCTGCAGTTTACCACAGCAAATAACATCCTGCCCCAAACTGACAGAGGAAATGCCACCTTAAGATACAATTAATCTGGTTTCTCAGGGGATGAAGTGCCTTGGGAGAGTGCAAAGGACAGGTATGAGCAGCAATGGCCTTTCTTACCCTGTGTGGTATTATAGGGGAGGTGATACCACATATTCTCAGAGAGCCTCCCAGGAAATGCACGTCTGTTCTGAATATGAAACTGTCAGTCTTGTTTCACATCATAGCTGCTTATTTTACAAGACACATTTAAAGGCTGGTAACATCTCAATTGCCTTGAATTATGGTCTTGGAAAAAAAAAAGTCAGTACAGGAGAGAGTTCTCCCCACCCACTGGAGAGCTGTAAAGTCCTACCTTGTACCCAATATCAGGCAGTGCAGTTTGGTCCCACTGTGAAGGATAGACAGGATGTGAGAGAGTTGTGTTTTGGCTACAGAACAGAAAAAAGAGCCAGTCAGCTGGTGATACTCCTAACCAAATCCCCCTTCTGGTGAATCTAACCATGGGCTCTAAAGCAGCCTTCAGGCATCCATTCACAAGCTATAGTTGGTTTTCTTTTTGAATGAACACACCTTAGGTTGAACAACACTTTAATTGAACCCTCAGCTTCACATGCACTCTCTGCTGGTGAGTTGCTAAAGCAGAGACAGCTTTTACTAAAAGAAATCAGTAGCACAAATAACATTTATAAGCAGATATGTTTAAATTAAGCTGAACTTATTTTAGAAAAAGCCATAAGATAGGGTATCTCAAGTAAGTGTCTCTAATTCACTTTATTTCAGTGGATTTGCCTGTTCTGAGTTTTAGTTTATCCTCAGCTTTCCCAGAGATGACATCCACATGCACCACAGCTCTTGGGATTGGCATTCCCTCGCTCCTAATTGCTGCACAGTTTATTTATTAGTGTTGGGGCATAAATCAAGGAATAAAAATTCCTGGCACAGTTGTGTCAGCCCTATGTGGCCTTGCCTCTCACAGAGAGAGCAGATCTGCTCTAGTGGTCTGTCACAGCTGCCAGAGACTGCCAGCAAACATCCCTCCAGAGAGTTTTACAGAAGCGTTGCATAATTTACAAATACTGTCACTGCAAAATGTACTGTTAAACCAGTCAGGAAAAAGTATCTAAAAATTAATTTAAGAAATATAACATTGCATTCTAGGCAGGTAGGAGGAACTTCTTAGCAGAAAGGTGCTGTCCTCTAGAGACACTGTTAAACAATGAATGTGTATTACCTTCCATCTTGTCCATCTTCTGACTCTTTAGGCAGTCGAATAACACTTCTTTGAGTCTTAAAGAGCACATTTGTTTGGACCATGTCTTGAAAGAAAAACACATTAACTCAATAATGAGATAACGTATTGTCTAGGGACAGGCTCTTCCATGTTAAGTAAAAATAAAAAAGGAAGTAGCCCTGAATACTGCATTGTGGTGCCCTCTCTATCCCACCCACCCCAGCGCAAACTTCATTCCCACTTGCACTGCTCCTACTTGGAGATCAGCAAGGTCAGCCACCTGCTAGCGCAGGCTGTGAAACTTGAAGGCAACCAAGCACCAGCTGCACCTGCACTGGTATTCACATCCAGGCTGCTGGCCAGAGAAAACCAGCTCTGATGGCAGGCCTGCAGCAGGAGAGAGCTTTCAGTGCAATGGGGGCCACAAACCTGGCTTTCCTGGCAGCACAGGGCTGCTCCATGGTGCTAAAAGCAAAGCCTGCCCTCCCTTCTCGGTCCTGTAACAATATCACAGAGCACATGCTGTGTGACATGGCTAATTATCCATTGTTTCCTCCTTTAAACACTACTCTTTACTCATGCCAGGAAACATTTGAAGTTTGGAAAGCTAACAGGAGTTTTAAGATGAGTAAATAAATTAGAAACAGAAAAGCATTTTTCATTTTCCCATTTCTCTCTCTATGCAACCAGCCCTAAATTTTTGTTTGCTGCACTGTGCTTTCGCTCCCTGTAAGAAGCTTCCAAGATGCTCAGTATAGGCTCACTTCACCTTTTGACTTTTCAGTGCCTTTCCCCCCTCCCGATTTCTCATTCTTCTTTTTTAGGTGTATAAACACAAATATATAAGCCAAGGTGCCATTTACTCTCAATTCTTCTTCTGAATGTACAATATTGTCAGGTATGTTTTTTTGACTACAGATGCCCGAGTGTAGAAGCTCAAGTGGGGCATGTCAAAAGTTTAGAGAAATTTACCTACTACTCAATTTCTGCTTGGAGAAAATTTGCAGGAGGAAGAAGAGCTGTTCAAAGAGATGTAGACATAATGTGAAAACCTTCAAGCCCGCTGCACTATGAAATGAAATTAAATTAAAACAAGGAGATACTTCACCTGCAAAGTCTAACTGATACTGCTGAGAACCAGCCCTGAAGAAAATAACACCATTCTTGTCAGCTTGATATTCATTCTCCAGAAATGCAGATGTTACAGTGGCAGTGGCATGACCTGGGTGCTGCAGAAAGAACAAGGAAATTACATGTGTTAGAAACCACCCTTTGGTTTGGGTGCCACTGTGGGGAAATATCAATGTTTCCCCAGGCCCCTATGGCAGGAGAATGTTTTGAAGTCTGTGGCTTCAAGCATTTTGTTCTACAGAGATGGAGGGGTGCCCCACCGAGCACAGCTGCTTCTGACAGCAGCAACAAAGAACCCCACAGCCTGTGTGGTCAGCTTCAGCCAAATGATGTTTGTCAGCTCTGGAAAATGCACCCGCTTCCCAAGCCAGTCCCTTGAAAGCTTTCAGAGAGTTCCAGTCCTGCTTTGAGGGACAATTAAGAAGACAATTCCACCCAGGCATTGGAGCAGCACTGCAGGGGCACCCAGCGGTGCGTGCAGAGCTCACCAGCTGCAGAACAACACGCTCTAAAGAACTCTCCAAAGATGGCTTAACAAAAGCTTTTGGCATGAACAGCAGATGAATTTCACCTCTTTCCCATACTCAATCCACTGGTTGGAATCATCGAGCCAATACCAGACATACTCCATTTTCAGGAGCAGGCAGATGAGTCAGGAGACAACACAAGTGCAGAAGAGCTGATGGGAACCTGGCTGCTTGCTCTGCCCTGCATTGGAAAAGAAATCCAGGTCAAAGTAAGGGTCTTTTCCAAAACTGTTAAATTGTGTAGTATCCCTGGTCTGATCAGAAATCTCTTCACTTCTTAAAAAAGGAGACCCCTCCCTCCAAGTGGAAAGTGCAGAACTGAAGAATTTGTGTTTGGATGTTTACGGGGCATAGTTAGCACCGTACAATAACCCTGACCCCTCTGGCTTGGACCTGTGCCACTGATTTTCTCCAAAATGTATCTTCCTAAAAACACATGTTAAGAAAATACACTTGACACCAAGATTCCCCTGCAGCCCACAGAGAAGGCCATGGTGAGACAGCTGTGCCCCTGCAGCCTGTGCAGGTCCATGGAGCAGAGATCCACACAGCAGCCCATGGGGAAGCCCATGCTGCAGCACGTGGACAGGCCCCGAGGGAAGCTGCAGACCACGGAGAAGAACCATGCTAGAGCACATTTATCCTGAAGGACTGCAGCCCGTGGGAAATGAACCCTGCTAAAGCACAGGAAAATTTTGAGAATGATGGAGGAGTAGATGGCAAGTCTTACAGACTGAGGACAACATCCATTTCCCTTCCCTTCTGTGTTGCTCTGGTAGGAGGGGGCAGAAAATTCAGGACTGAAGGAGTGAAGTTGAACCTGGGAATCCATGCAGGGGGGAATAAGTGATCTAATTTTCTTTTCTCACAATTTAAATCTATTTTAATTGGCAATAAGTTAACTTCCCCCAAGTGAAGTCTGTCTTGCCCAATGTTCACTTTGGCTTTATCTCAGCTCATGAATCTTATTTTCTCCCTGCTGTCCTGTTGAGGACAGGAGTGAGAAAGCAGCTCTCACTTGCAGGAGGGATATCATTACTTACCAGCAAAGTCTCTGCTCTGCACTCTATCCTAGACACAGCACCTACAAAGAGAAGAAAATGAAATAGATAGCCACCAATAATTCCAACTCATGGGATTTTACTTTTCTTCCTGCTGTGCTTCACCCTTCATTTAATCTCTCCGTTTTGGACCCAGAGAACACTTTTTTAAATGTATCTCACCAATTTACTGCCTCTACAACATTGCTTATCATGGATCACATATCCATAGCCAAAAGCTGCCAGCTATTGATCTTCCAAGGGTCTGTGACAGAGCTGCTCTGAGCTGCCTGAAGAATCTGAACACGATAGTGAAACAGAAACTGGAAACGATCATGTATCTAGCTCTGACGCCCTTTGTACCTTGGCAGGGATCAAGGGTATTCAGAGCAGGCCAATGAGGGGAAATCATTACAGGAGCAGCTCCCTCACAGAGCTGTTTACAGTGCAAAGGTCCCCAAAACAAAGGCGTGGCAGCCCCGCACTGCCAGAGCAAAGCGTGAGGAAGAACCCGGGTCTCCTTCTGACAGACCTCGTTCCAGCACTGCCTGTGTATGCAGCAACACCGGCCAGGCCTGATCCTAGAAAAATGCTCCAAACTATTCTTCTCTCCCATTGCAGGGCATTCAAGAGATCCAGCACTACCAGGAGATTTTTGGACATGGCTGTCCCTTTTTTTCCCCTCTGCACAGCACGATGATGCTGCTGCTATTGGCACGGCTGAAGAATTTGAAGTTGGCAGATTTGAAGAGCGGAATTTGAGGAGGGAGGTGGGGAGCGGGCAAATGGAAAGGAAAGCAGGGAAGTGGGGTGGGATGATGTTTCCAGGCAGCTTTTTTCCACTGCTGCCCGACTCTCTCTTCCCTCTATCCCCATTCCAGATAACTCCTCCTAAGCCCTGCCAGCTCCCCTGCCGAGACTTGGGGCTCCCAGTCTGCCCTGATCACATGAGCTCGCAAATCTGTCCACTTGTGACATTCTTTCCTATTCACTTTCCAGCATTTCTGCTCCATGCTGGGATTCTCCACTAATCAACTAACCCCAACTAGAAATAAACAGAGGTGAAACACTTCAAAAGCAGACAGAAATGTTTTGCCAGCAAGAGAGGTAGTGTCCTTCACATTTTGCTGAAGATTTTGCTACATGGTCTTGTGCAACTCTGCATTTTCTTTTTATATCTTAACAGGAATAACTTTATACAGAGAAAAAGTTATACTTAAAAAGCAGCCTCATGTCACCTTTTCCCTTACACAAGAAAAAAGATGAATGAATGAAGATACAAACACAACTTACAGCATGACAAAGTGCAAGCAGGTAACACTCCAGCAGACCTGAAAGCCAAGCCCACAAGATATGAAAACCTGCACTTCCTGTGTGTCCAACCCTCCCTCTCAGTTGCACCCTGGGAAGGCTGTCAGAGCCCAGCATGTGCCACTTCCCTGGCACAGTTCTGTCCTTGGGCTGCCCAGTCACCACCCTCAGGAGCTGAGGGCATCAGCCTTGTGCTTGCCAGGCTGGATGAGCCTACTTAACCCTTGCTCTGCATGGCAAAGGTGCCCCGGGTGCAGCAAAGTGAGCCAGAGCTGGCTGTGAGGGTGATCAGAGCTGTGAGAGCTCCCTGTGGACTGCCCACAGCACATCTGTACCTCGCTGTGTCCCTCGCAGCCTCTCGTGGAGCACGGTGCTTCTCTGCCACAGACCCTTAAGGAAGTGGGGCTGAGTAACATTTCCTTCTGCTGGTTGCGACAGACGCATGCGCTTCTGCCAAGCACGGCCCCGGGCTTCGGCAGATACAGCTGCAAAATCAGTGTCACTGCAAACCAGCAGAGTTTATCCCTGCTTCTGGGTTCCTGTCATTGCACTTACCTAGAGCCAATTCCTCTCAGCCTTCCAGTGGCTGGGGATATTCAGGACTTGCTCCTCTCTATAAGAAGCAGCTTCTGTTGAACATCATTCTTGGAAAGCCAACAGCTGGCATTGCCTTGCAAAGTGCCCCCCCAAATCTCAGTGCAGGAAGTGGGTGTTGTCCATCCAGCTCTCCCCAGGGCTGTGTGGGCACGGCTGGGGGGTTTGCAGCAAACAGAGCCACACTGAGCCTCACAGACCTGTGTGTGCTGAGCACAGAGCTCTGCAAGACAGGCTGGCTCAGCCCTCGGAGCTCTGCGCCGTCCCAGGTGTTTGTGTTCCTGCACCTTGAAGTCTGAACCTCCTCTCTGCTCCTCCCCACACTAATCAGACAAGGCTTAGGAGCTTTCCACTCTGACCTCCAGCCTTTCAGAAGCTGACAACATTTCCCAGCAGAGCTCTGAGGCATAAAGCTTAACAGCATGTCAAGTAGTCTTAAGATGCAAACTTGTTAAGCCAAAAGCATTTCTTTGACTTTTTTTTAAATCTCAGATTGTGTTCAGTTGAACTGCCCAGAACATTTTTCTTTCCTGGTGTTCCAGTTACACCAGATCAGTAGTGGCTGAAACACAAATCTCTGAAAGGGTACACTCTGAGTGCATTCTATAGACATAGCATTAAAACAAACAAACCAACTCAACAACAACAAAACCCCTAGCAAACACAGCCAAAAAACCCAAAAAAACCAGCACCACAAATGTGATTATGAACTCACTTTCTTTCGCTTCTGGCCATTCTTGAAGCTCTTAGACCCGCTGAGGCCTAAGTGCTTCAGTAGACATGAGACAGGAGCTTTAGGAAGAGCATTCTGGCTTGGTAGAAAATGTTTACATATCTTTGCTGGGAGCAGCACACCATCCTCTCTAAAAAACAAACACCTCTCTGCAAGCTGGAAACCTGAGCTCACTGTAAACTGATATCTTCTGAACATCGTATTTTTTATTTTTATCCCTTTCAATTCCAATGTCATCTGTGGAGCTGTTGAACCTCTGATTTCTCAGCCATGGTACTATATCTGTCTGCATTTTCAGTATCTGGGAATGGAACAGGTCTCAGTGCAGTCTTCCTATGTATAGCCCTGCAAGATCATATTCCTGCACAGTCAGCAGAGGCACCCAAGTGTGGTTTCCCAGCATATGTGACATGACTTATCATTTATAAAGAAACCATGGTCCAGCAGGTAGCATTACTTAGTTCCTCCCAGGAATTTCAATTCTTGTTCACTTTTTCTCTTCAGAGGAAATGGACAAAGAGGGGACTTTTCACCCTTTGTGTGTGCCTCTGTGACACGCAGCAGCTCCTTAGCAATTTCAGACTGCTCCAAGGTTTGGTGTGGGAGTCCTGGTCCTACAACACGTGCACACTGTGCTCACATGGGTATTGCAGCCTGGGACCAGGCTGACAGTATCTCATGCTTTTACCTTAAGATGTGTAAAATCCCCCAAACCAAAGTGGGTGGACCCAGGAAATGTTGGGGTGATTGAGCTCACCTGGTTCTGCAAGATCTTCTGCAGGTTGGTCCCCCAGCCACCCATACTGGGTGCTGGCCCACCACTGGGTGCTGTGGGAAGGTGTGCCAGGCTGTTCAGCTTCAGGAAAGCCTGGCACAAGGAGGGATTGGCTATTGTCTGGGATCCTGGAAGCATTTCCAGATCTCACTTGAATCCATTCTATCGTTTAAAGCCAGTAACTTCTCCTGTAGGGTGTGATGGTTTCTGCTGTGAGGATTTTCCCTGTGAGACTGTATTTCCTGTTGGACATCGTCCAGTGGCTTGTAAATTAAATTCTTGGAGGGTAGTGGGGAAACAAGCCCTGCAACCACACTGCTGCTGTCCCAGCTTAATTCAGCACAGGAACAGGAAGCAATCACTACAAGAATAATAATTCTCAATTGCTTTGAAAATAACCCTAAAGTTGCGTTCCAAAATTTTACATGTTTCAGTAGATTACATTCGATTGGTAAATGGTACTTTGTTTTTATTTTAAGTACATAAATGTTTGATACAACGGATTTAAAAATGCTCCACATTCTGCTGTTCCTCTTTCCAGCAGTCATTAGAGGAGCCTCAGCATGCTACTTCCCATCTTTTAGGAACCAATTAACAATTACGTGATTGTAAATAGGTAATTGCTGTATTATCTGGACATAACATCACCACATTAATAATGTAATAATGTAAACCAAAGTAATCCAATAATGGAAACCTTTCTTATGCCATTAGTTCAAATGAGCATTTATGGATTAAATCAGCAAGTCATGCGCAATTGGCAAGTTAAAACTTGGATGTGAAGTCACTCATGGCTTCTTACAGCACCAGAAGATGCATTTATTCAGGAATCTGCCCAAGTCTCATCAGTGGTCCTGTCTAATTAAAGGAGGAATTGTATTTCACTGGAGCTAGGCCAAATTCTGAATTTTCAACATCACTGGTAAGGAGTGGGTCTGGGAAGCTGGGGGAGGGACCAGGATGTCTGCTGTCATATTCTAGATGATATTTAACTGATTGTTTTAAAAATGCACTTGTACATTTAAAAATGTAATTTCACTAAAGTAAACTTCAAAGTTGAAAGATCATTTCAAGGCTAAAAAACTCATTCTGCTTATACAAAAATCAAAGCAAAACATTCTGACTAGATTGTTAATACTTGAATTTCAAGTATCTTCTCATTATCTCAGTCTGCAGTTTCCGGTGGATAAAATTTTATCCCCCTGTATTCCCTTTTCCAATCCATCTGCCTTATCTCTAATTAGCTCTCCCCAACAAGACTGCTGTAGTGGTTCTGTTTGAAACTTGCATTTGGCTTCCATGTATTGGATTCTAAGTTTTGCAACATGCCCACTTCCTCTATTTGCCAAGCCAGGAAAACAAAATACTGTCTCTGTACTCACACACACATACATACACACACAATTTTTCTCAGGACTGGGCCAGGCTGCAAAATTAGCATCTTGGTTTCAAAGACACTCTGCAGGCAAAGCAAGCTCATTTCAGAGAACTAGTTTGCTTTTCTGAAAAAAAATAAAAGGGCAGGAACAGATCCCAGTTGGCAAGCTTAGGAACACTTGCAGCAAGGTTTTGGCTCAGTCATCCTCAGTTGCACTGACTAAAAAGAATTAAAGCATGGACTGCTTTAGGTAGGACCAAAGGTGTCAAAAATGGTGTGAGTAGATATTTATTGTCTTCTGTGAGTTTTGATGGTTTTCTCAGTAAGTCTTGATTTCTTGTTGGACAACTTCCAGCAGTAACTGTAGTTTGTGTGTAAGATAATCTGAAAGGGTGGAAAAAAAGGAAGGAAGCTTAGTCCAGAGGCAATTCTGAGACATTACTGAAAATCAAGAGCATCAGCATTGATAGCTGGAGCACCTAATGTTGGCAGATCACTGTATCTGGTTCCTTCCTTGCTATGTGTTGTCTTCTATTGAGTGGTTAGTGATGCACCTCCATCCAACATCAAATCAAAAGAAAACAAGACTTGGAACAGAAACAAGAAATTAAACTCAAACCCAGGCTCTTATTTCTGAAAAACCCCTTGTGCCACCATGCCTACATACAAAGGAAATTTGTACCACACACTGCCTGGAGTGGAGATGTACTCAATTTCCACAGCTACACTACCCAAACCATCCTGGCCTCTTCACCAAGCACACAGACCTCTGGCAGTACTCTTCTCCTAGCAGCCCTCTCCCCAGCCTTTCAGCAAGCAAGTTTGTTGTGCATGGGGTTACAGTGTCTGCCTGTAGCCCCTCCATCCTAACTTTTCATCTTTCTGCTCCATGTCAGACAAATTTCACCCAGAGCTGGGATCCCAAAGATGTGATAAAGTTTAGTAGGTACTAGGGCTGGAGTGGGAAATAGACCCTCTCTGTTCCCCTGTTGGTAGACTTCAGCCTTGTCTTTGTTAAAACAAATTTGGCTGTGGAGGCTGTGCCTTGGGAAAGGCACCAGAGTGGTGCCAGCAGTCATTATTTAGGTTTCATGAGGTCTGTTGGTCAAGGAGCAATTTGCATCAGAGGTGAGCCCTGGCAACAAACCAGCCCCCTGACTCTTGGGCATGTTTAGGTCCACAATACTGAAAGTGAAATGCATACTTACAAAACAGGTTGCGGCAGCGGTCTGACATCTGCCTGCGAATGACGAGGTAGTAGACTGGAAAACCACTCAAAACTATGGTGCATCCAATGCTGATGTTCACAGGGTCTGAGTAGAAAGACATTGCCACTGTGAAGAGGCAGATGATGGTAAAAGAGACAGGGACAAACAGGGGAACCTGAGGAAAAGAGCACAGGAGACTATCAGGGAAAACTGGTGGCTGTAGCCGATCAGACTCTGTATGTGCCAGCACACGCTGTATCCATTCTCTGCCTAAAGAAAAGGAGAATAATCATAACCTGTCCTGCAGAATGCTTCTGTACTATCAGACTGCAAACAACTGCATCAGCTTCAGAGCTCAGTGTGCTCTGTGAGTGCATGCCTCCTATATTCACGTACACCAAAATCTAAACCTCACTTGTAACTATAAGCCAAGCAGGGGGAGAAGCTGCCTACAACCCACGGCTCTGTGAATGTCCTGCACCTGTGCATACCCAGGCACACACATACCTATGTGCCCTCTAAGGCAGCCACTGAGGGAATATCTGAAACCAAGAAAGAAGGGACATTTTGAATCAAACTGTTCATTGCTTATAAATCCATGACTCGTGTTGACCTGCCTCCAGTTTGCCTGAGACTTACAGTGACTAAACCAAGACAAACCAGACTCCCTATCTCTGTAGTACCTGCAGCAAAAATTTCAGCTTCAGTGACACCATGGTGAAAATCAAAGCAGCACTCAGCTCTTCAGCCATACCCTATTGGATGAGCCAATTCCTCTAAGTTATTTGGAGAGCAAATAGGAAGACTGCAATAAATAATAAAACTGTGAAACACTCCCTCTGTCTCTGGATCCAAACTCTGCCAAGCAATTCCTTGCCATGGCTGATGGAATGAAGGAGCTGCTCTCATATAAGGTGACAATCTTGACTAGTAATAAAGATTGTATTTTGGATACTCAACATGCCAAGTTGGAAGAGATCTGTTGCTCTAGGTATGGCAGCCATCCAGCCATCAAACTTAGGTACTCTTGTCTTTCCAGCCAGAGCATCCTCTGCCAGCCCCTCCTCCATGCACACGCTCACGCTGCACATCTGCTTGAGAGGTGTGCGAGCGGACTGCTCCCTCCTCTTTCCCGTGTTTTCTCACCGTTTTTAACTCAGAATGCTACAGAGAGAGCAAGTGCCAGCGCTGTCACACGCGTGCCACGCTTTGCTGTCCCCGGGCACGGCAGGCGACAGCCGCGAGCGGCCACTAGAGCGCAGCACGGGCCCGCGCCACCTGCGCGCAGCCCTTGCACAGAACTGACAAAAACCAGAGGAAAGGCGAGGGGAAACCAGCCGAACTGACCAAAGGGCCAGTTCCTTCCCTCGTTTAATCAGCATCTAGGAGCCGCTAGAAGTCTGAATCTTTGAAGAAAACCAGGGCAAAATCTCAGCATCTGAAACCATCAGCAGTGCCAGCCACTAATAAATCTCCCCTGAGAAGATTGGTTTGAACGAAAAACTAAGCTAAACTTACTCAGTTTGGTTCTGGGGAGTGAGTATGCGAGTGCAGCCAACAAACAAACTGGGAAGCCTCAAGGCCTCTGCTGAATGCAAAGGCCGAGAAGAAAAATGACCCCAAACTTTGCAGGAGGATGCACTCAGCTCAGAGAGGACCCCTGCGAGCTGCAGGGAGCGTTTCTGTCCCCCGAGCTCCTCACTGCCCAGTGCCCACAGCCCCGGAGATCCTCTCTGTTCCCGGGAGCTGCTGCCAGGGAACACCACACAGGGACGACCAGAGTCAGGAGCAAACTGCACCCGCCTCAAGCACCGCCCCAACCCAATGCCTTCTGCACATTATCCGGCAGTGGGAAATATGCCCAAGCACAGGAAAGCTGCTCCAGCATCCCCTGCTGACATGAGGGGGGATCCCAGCACCCAGAGCAGTGAGAAAGGCCACAAGAGGGGCCCACTGCTTTACATGAGACAATATTTCTATACCAGCAGATGATTCCTCCCAAGTCAGGTTTGCTCCCAGGGCCAGTCCACCCATGCTCCTTTTCCCCCAAGCCTGACACCTTTCTGCTTCTCAGCCAGAGCTGAGATTTACCTGCCACTGAAATAACATCCAGGCAAGTAACATCCTTCTTGTAGGCCACAGGAGATGAGCCAGAGAACTTCTGTCTGTACATCTCCCAGTCCCAAGCCTGAAACTTTGTCCCTTGTACCAAGCAGTATTCTAACAGGTGAATCTGGTGAGCCCATGTAGAACTGGCTTTATAGGATTTATCACATCTGGCTGTTTGGGCACACCAACCAGTGTGGGTCAGGAGCTCCCCACAGACATTACCAAGCATCAGAGACTGAAACCCCTTAGAGCCTAAAGGCAGCCAGGGCCATGTGATGCTGTAATTATGAGCAAATCAAGGAGAGGGATGGCAGGGCTGCAGGTTCCTGGCTGCCAGGTCCGTGCTGTGCATTACCTGGAAGGGGCTGTGCAGCTCCGGGTGACGGCAGCGATGGACGATGAGCCCCAGGGTGGCCAATCCTATGAAGAGCCATCGGGAAAAGCTGAAGAAGTTCAGTAGGTGGTAGATGTCTCCAATGCACACCATGGCAGTGACCAAAGGGAACTGAGTGTTTTGAACATGGAATACAGTCATTACAGCCATGGATCACCTCCTCCAAGCTCCCTGCAACTACTTCACAGCCCCAGCATTTTGGAGGTCAGAGAGTTTCACAAAACAGTGTCACAGACTGAAGGCAAAAGATTAAAGGCATTGATCTGTAGTGCTACAGAAAAGAGTGATCATTCCAAGATCAGCAGCATTTTTGATGCTTCATGTCCAAGCCAGGGCAATTAAAACATGCATGATCCAGAAGCCTGCACTGCTGGTACACAGGCTATCTACAATGACATCTGCTAAAGTTTTACAAGCTCAGCCAAGCTGCAACAGACACTGCACCACAGTCGGGATGGAGCTGGGCCATTGCCACAAAAAAACCCTGAACAAACCAAAACACGAGACCAGGCCATCTCTACAAATGCTCATTCCCTGCATTTCCACCACACCTGGGAATTTTAAATTTCCAGATAGCCAAAGCCTGGCAGAGCTATTTTCATAGGGCAATATCAAGCAGCACCTGTTGCAGATTATAGGGACTGTACTTTTAAAAAAGGTGTGTAATGTTATAAGGCAGGGACTTCAAGGTTGTACATTTGGATACCACTGCTGGCTCAAGGGGATTTAATGCTTTGCAGCCATTTCCTGTATCCTGCCTTCTTTTTTTTTCTGGGAGAAATTTAATGTCCCAACACCCTCTAAAACTCCTCAGTTTATCCAGTCCTTGCAAGAAAGCCAGGACAGCAAAAGAACAGAGCGTGTCACACACAGCCAGATCTCCTTACCATTAACATGACAGCAGGAAGGGGGGTATGCCTTCGAATGTGGATCATGGAGAAGAGAGGAGGCCACTGCCCTTCCCTGGAAGCCACAAACAGAGTCCTAGGAAAAGACAGGGAGCCCTGTACATTAACATTCTACATCCGCGTTAGAAATGAGATGAGTCACTGGACTGACCTGAGGCATCAAGGCATCTGCTCTCTTCCCCAGCAAAGTCTGCTGCTATTCAAGGCCACAGTTTTGCTTTTAGCTGCACTTTCATAGAAAGTTTGGGTTGGGTTGGAACCCACCCACCTGCCATGGACAGGGACACCTTCCACTAGACCAAGTTGCTCAGAGCTCCACTTTGGGGGCATTTGGAAGAAAACCAAGGCTGAGTTCCCACAGCTCTGCCAAGACCAGTTCAGGGCAGGTCAGAGCCCAGCACCAGACCACTGGCAGGGTCTCCTTGGGTGCCTCATCTGCAGAGACCTTTGGGCAAGTCCAAAGTGACCATGAATGAACTCAGATTGGAAACAGGAGTAAGAAAGTCTCTTGCCATCAAAAAAGGAATTAATTTTTCCAGTGAAAAGGAAGTGGAAGGGTCACAAACTTCAATTTTTTATAAGAGAAACTGGTGAGTTTATGAAAGGGGATTGTCAGCTTTGAAGCCTATATTCTTATATGTACATATATAGAAAAAATAAAGTGCAATCTCCTCAAATGACAGATGATTTCCAATCCTCTGGTCAGCTGTTGGAAAATACAGTTTGTCATACTGCCAAGAGACCATCTACACACAAGAACAGCTACAAAATGAGAGCAGAGAGTTCCTTGCTTGCATCCCTCCTTTGACTCGTGAGAGAGCAATTAGGGAGAAGACAATCACATCCAATTTTAGAAATTTAATATCCTCAAACAAACCATGCCAAAGCATCAGCTGGGCTGAAGCAGGGCCCCAAGCAGCTGGGGCACAAGTGTACAACTGGTTTTATTGCTGTCTCTGTGGCTTTGCAGGGGTGTGGCTGGCAGGCAGCCAGGGAGGCCCCATCAGTGTTTATATGGGCTTTCTGCAGTGATTATGTTAATGATGCCAGGATGGGGGAGAGAAGGTCAGTGGGGGACACTGAGAACCTCTGTGCTGCCCAGAGACTTCTCATCCTCAAAGAAAACAATTATCTGGAGCAGCTAATGGGAATGATCGTCCACACCTGTATTTAATACAGGACTTCAGAGTAGTGGATCAGATAATTCATTAGCTTTCAGGCTATGAGACATTCCTTTCAGATCAACTGATTTTTCCCTTTGCAATCAAAGCTGTGAAGCAAAACCACTGCAGAGGCTTTGCTCAGCTCCACAGGACCAGCACAACATAAGTATCTTGATCATAAGGCCTGCCCTCCTCTCCAATTTCAAGGCTCCCGTAAGGACACAGTGTGGCAGACAGTGAAGCTGGCAAGTTTATTTTTCCATGGGACAAAGCTTTTCTTATTGCTATAACAAGACTTCTTGAACTTTGACTATTGCTTTAGGAATAGCCCATCCCAATGACATTTCACTGACTTCAAAACAAAGTTCTCAAGGGTGAGTTTGCCTAGAGAGCCTCCCAACAGAGGGACCCCATGCCCCCAGCAGCACAGCTGGGTGAACCCAGTGGAAGAAGACTCAGTCTCACTGAGCAGCTGCCAACATCAACAAAGCCTTTAGTTCACCAGAAACACTGATATTTTACTTTAAACTGGAGATTTAAACTGAAGGGTAGGGGAGAAGATAAAAATCTTTGTGACCAGTCCTGAGTACCAAGGTCTGGATCTGGTCAGAAATAGAAGAAGTAGACTCTTAGCCCAAAGGGACCATCCTGTAGCTGACAACCTGGGAGTCAAAAGCCTTATTTTTCCCACAAGAGTGGTTAAAATGCTACAGTGTGGATGGGTAGTTGCACAGGTTGGTGATGCTTCCCTCTGATTCAGTGAGCAAAAAGCATAATAGACCCTTAGGGATGTGACCTTGAAAAGGTGAAGATCCCTCCATTCATGGTTCCAAAGCAGGACAGTGCAACAAGGACAGGGACCACGGAGATCAGGCTCTTGAAGGCTCGCTGCACAAAGCTCTGGAGAAAGAGCAAACATGACTTTAGGGAACATGTGGTGATCTCTAGGTGATATCAGGGTCAAAAAAGAAAACTTCTTCCATTGAAGGAGTATAGAAGTCATAAATCTCACCTTTTCTACTGTCATCTTCAGGTTACTTTTCATTATCTTTTAGGCACCACAACAAGAAGAATTTACTGTTGCCCATTATTCCAGAGAAATTACAAAGCAATAAAGCATTTTATAGGAAAACCATCTCTGAAAGACTTGCCATGACCACAACACAAGCTGGCCACACTGAGGAGATAACAATAGCAATGACAACTCACCACAGCCACAGCAGGAGAAGCCAGAACATCTTCTGTTCCCAGGACTGTGTAATAGGAGACGTTGGTGAGCATGTATCCCACAATTACCGTGATCACAGACACGATGACAGCCAGGGGGATATTTCTGCAAGGAAGGGGAAACACACACACACAAAGAACAAGCTGCTATCCCTTGTTATGCACGGTATTAGTGCAGATTTTATCTGGCAGTACAATTGATTGCAGTTAAGTGAACCCACAAAGTTATTCCTCCTGCACTGCACTTGGGAAAGGTGTGGGAGCCCCGAGGCCAGTAACCCAGGGCAGCTTCCTGCCAGCCTTACCGTTCGGGTTTGACCAGCTCTTCGCGCACAAAGCCGGTCTGAAACCTGCACGATGGGAAGAGACAGGGTGAGAGTCAGTCGTGCTGAGGGCACCCGTGTGCCGCCCGGGAAGGGCCCTCCCATCGCACCTACCAGCCGGAGTATGCGAACATGCCTGCATAGAAAGCCAGGGGGAGCTTATCCAGAACCAGCGACTGCCTGTCAAAGGCATGCTGGAAGTTCTCCGTGTGGCCTGCAGAGGAGATAAACAACGGAGACAGAGCAGGAGAACATCAGAGACAGGCTTCCTTCCCTGTAGAATAACATCCCTTGTACCTCTTGCCCAGGCCTGGGAAGAGTGTTTGTGATTTCCTTGGAGAAGGGTATTCAAATTCATTTCATTGCTTTAACTTCAGTGTTGTTGCTGATATGTTTACTTTCCTACAGTGACATTAAAAAAACAACAACAAAAAAATATATCCCTTGTCCAGCTAGGGTAGGCATTTCAGGAAGGGCAACAGCAATAGCTAGTTGTTTCCAACAGACCCTGATGTGGGAACAGGAGATCATGGAGACGAACAGATCCATGCTGTCCTCTCCCTCCTTCAGGCCCAAAATTAAGTTGTTGGATTGACCCCCATGCCATGTTCGGTCCCCAGCCCCCTCAGCAGCTGGAGACACAGTCCCCTTTGATGTGGTGCAGCCAGCGAGGCAGCTGACTCAGCTCTCACTGTGCTCCCTCCTGTTCCTGCTGCTGGAGCACTGACCCCAGCCCTGTGCGGGCCAGAGCATGGGAACCAGGCTGCAGGAGGGGGTGGGAGCAACACCTGCCAGCCTGACCCACCAGCACTCACCCACAGGAAAGGACAGAGTGCAAAGCAAATGACATGTCCAAAGTAGAGGTGTCTCAAAGTAGAGATATTTACCAACTCCCCTAATTTTCCTTCAAGTTCTCTGCTTGAAACAACAAAACAAAACTTAACAAAAAAAAAAAAAATCAAAGTCAGGATTTTCTCTAAATCAAAACAAAAAGATTTAGGGAAGAGAGCAGCTCTGAATTGGCCTCTCATTCAAACAACAGTCAAAAATAATTGCATTCCAAAAATTTTCAAATCCAGGTAACCCAAGGTTTGGTATCACATCTATGTTCAATTTTCCATAATAAACGCTAAGAGGTGAGAAGCTTTCCTAGTTGGGCTTTACTAGGCAAGGTGTCATATGGCACAGAGCACATGGAGAAAGTCAGGCCACTTCTGTGGAGGTGCTTCTGCAAGAAGTTCAGTGACAAGATTTGGGCACATGGGCTTGAAACACTGGCCCAGCAAGTCTCTAATATAAGCCTGACCCAAAGAGCAGGTAATGGCAAAGGAAAGGACAGAAGTGCAATCTAAACAAAGTAGCACAAGGCAAAGCAATCAGGCAAAATTATGTAAAAGCACAAAACTGATTTTTAAGCACCAAAAAAAAAAAAAAAATGAAGTCAATTTGAAAATAGGTTTGAAGAAAACTAACCCAAAATATAGAAGTGGGTCTATTGAGGTACTTTTTTTATGTTCCAAAATGATGGCTGCTAAGTGATGGTGCATGAAAAGGATTTATTGCCCGCAATGCATTAATGAGCAATTTACAGTCCCCCATGAGACATATTAAATACAACTTGTCATGCTGGAGTCTCTTGGTGAATTCTCCCTCCAGATGTCACCTGCATTTATCCCCTCCACCAGAGGACGGGTGCCAGGGCTCCAGATTGTCATTTGAAGGCATTCCTAACAATAATGGCTGGGGATTCCTAGCTGCAGGGCAGTCCTTTAGTTCAGAAGCCAGCCCAAGGGGAGCTCTGCATGTTCAAAGGAGCCAGCTCCAGACATCAGAAAGAAACATGAACACAGAGCCCATTGCCTGTGGTGTTTTCTCTGCAGAAGAAGGTAATAGCATGAAGAGGGAGCAGGCTTCATCCCTTGAGTGGGAATGTCTTGGGCTTTTCTATAAACTGAGGCTTGGATTAAAGCCAGTACTCTTGTATGGTTCACAGAAGATCCTACTGGTAGGGTTTATCTCCCCTACTCTGCATACAGGCATGAAGTCCTCTACCAAGTTCATTGTAAATTCACTGAATTACCACCCATCTCAATCTGGAGGTAAAAAACATTAGTTTGTGCCACAGAAGGGTTAGAGATGCCGTTACCAGGGCTCAGCTGAGGGCTGGTAACTCATTATACAGCTGTGATTGGCACAGGGGATGCTGTCACATATCCTAAATGTCCATTTAATATGTGCTGCTTTGGAAAGATTTTGAGCTATACTGGAAATAGGCAAGTCTGACTCCAGAGGAAGGTTAGGGTGACCTGGGTAGGTTCACATATCCCCTGGCACTAAGACCCACTAAATTTTGGAGAAAGCACCCTGCAGCCAGGTGCATCAGCCCAGTGCAATGATGCAGCTTGTGCCAGCTGTGCCGGTCTCAGCTCCCAGCTAATTCACATCTGGCACATGGACAGAGAGAGCTCCTGCCAGCTGAGTGAGCACCACCCTTGTCACTGATAAAAGCCATGACAGGGGGCACATCGAGCACCCTGCTCAGCCATAGGAGCAGCAGAACCTACCCTGGGCCAGCAGCATCATCCCTGGCACGATGATGAGCGCAAGGGCCAGGAGTTTGACAACGGAGAGAGCCATCTGCAGCCGCGCGCTCCAGGTGACGCTCCAGGAATTGAGGGTCAGGACCGTGTCTGGAGAGGAAACACCACTGCTACCGCTGCAGCCTGGGCTCGACACACACAGGAGAAAATACAGTAGCTCTCCCTGCCCTAGGGATGCTGGGGGAAGGCTGCATCCTTATGCCTTATAGAGGATGCCTGGGATGAGAGATGCCAGGAAACATTGGTCCAGCATACAGTGTTTATGTATGTTTACAGCTCCCTTTAAAGAGGGAGCTGGCTTAGACTCCTATAAGGGAGCAGGAACCTGGTTTCTGCTGGGTGATCCACACCTGCCTGGTGGAAAGGTGTGGGACATCTCAGCCCACTTCACAGCAGTCCCTGTGCCAGTCCACACCAGTCTGGAGCAGGCAGGACAGCTTCATGGGCTGGCTGCACCAGGAGAGGAGTCCAAAACCTCAAGCCTTACACCCACAGCTCATGTGGCTTTTGCACAATTACACATGGAGAGTTTCTTCTCCCACACCTGGCAACATCCCCCTACCTAGGGCTCCAGCTGGTCAACAGCGAGGCCCATTCCACTTCCTAGAGAACATTGTGGCCCAACACCATCACCTTGAATTGGAACATTTTACTTAGCTGAGGTGATAATACAGCTGTCTTATCCCACAGGTGTCCAGGAAATAACACCCCAAGTGCTCCTAGTCTAGGGCAGGGAGGCCAGGATGGACAATCCCATAAATGTTGGTACTTACAGTAGCCCAGGAGAGAAATGAGCTTCACTGCAGGGACAGGGGCAGCACAGGGGGCGAAGAACGGCTCCAGCATGTAGCGCCCAAATGCCAGGGAAACCACAGCACTGTTGGCAGGCCTGGAGTGGGGAATGTGGGGGGAACCAAGCACAAACTGCTCTGAGCATGGCTGGAAAACGGCATGAGGTAAAACTGCACAAAACTTTAGAAGAGGAGCAAGTTTCCCCATCTGGCCTAATCCTTTCACCCATGCAGATGGTGAATCCCCATCGAGTTTTTCTCATGGGTTTTTCTCAGTAAATGGGTTAAAAACCACATGCTGCAAAATGATTAATTTCCAACTTGAAAGCAAAAGTTGAGATTAATCATACTGAGCAATGCAAGTGTAGTTCATATGTTCTGCCTCATCTAAGCTTACATGAAGGATACAGGCATTGAGAGGTGAGGACTTCCTTTTTAATGTTAAAAAAAGAAGTAATTCACAATTTTATAAATTATTTAACTTGGGGATAAGCCAGGAAATTGTCTCCACTTTCTGAATCTGAAGACAGCAAAAAAGTTTCACACTGAAAACATTAGATCTGAAATAAATCTGGCATCTATTGCCAGTCTCTGAAATATACCACAGCTCTTGGAGGATAGGAGCTGCCAGGGGAGAAGAGAGATATTCTTCAAGTACAGAACATATTCAACATTTGTAACTATTTCCACATTGCATCTTCTTCCTTTTATCACTGAAAAATCTTTAAAAATCATTCAATTCTTTCCTTTACAAACTGCCTGGACTGTTACCTGGCGCCATAACTTTTTGTATTTTAAATTATCATTGCATCCAGGAAGAGGCAAGCAAATCAAATCTCTTACCTGATAGCAAAAAACTCTGCCCACAGGAATAAGAAGCTTGGCAGAGGCCCTAGTGTCTCCAAAATGTAGATATAATGCCCTCCAGACTTGGTGATTCTTGTTCCAAGCTCTGCATAACACAAGGCACCTGGAAAAGTCCAGGTAGAAATGTACCAAGTAAATAATCCCAGGGATTTTTTTCCCTTTTCTGTGTGATTTTTCAGGGATTGAACAAATAATTTTAAATAAGTAGCGAATGGGAGGAAGGAAAAGAGGTTTAACAGAACCACTTTTCTCTATTTTTGTGCACTACTGTGGTTTGAAGTAAGTTCTGAAGTTATTGGCTTACCTGTCAGTTGGAAAGAAATTCTCTGTTTTGTGGTTAATGTTACAACATTTCCATGGAAGCTCTGAAGAAAGGTGTGTGATAGAAATGCTGCACAGAGCTACAAGAGGTTTCCTTTGGAAGGTACCCTGGATTCTCACTTCTCCTCACTGTTAGACTGATGAAATAGTGCTTACAAAGCAACTACAGCAGCTCAGCCACAAGCCATGGCTGAACTGGTCATTTAAATAATGTTTTTGATCCCAGGCCACATTCTTGTGTCCTTATCTTGCATCTTCACATAAATCACTTCCCTCTTTTGAAGCCAGTGGTGACATGGCCATGCCTCCAAGTCCCATGGCAATCATACCACATTCAGGTCATGCAGGATGGTGGCAACCTCAATGTTTCCTGCCTCCCTGTTGGAAAATTTGTGCAGGACTCCTGTTCAAAGCATCAAATATAGGCAGAGAGCTCATCTAGTTTATTCCAGCAAGTCCCTTTAAGTTCTTCAAGCATTTAAGCATTCAAGCATTCATGCATATAAGTATGTTGCTAAACTCATGGGATGGGACTTTATATATACCCCACTTGAAAGAAAAAAAAAAAGCACAAAAGAAAGCAGGTCTTTTAAATATACTGCAAAAAAAGTGTCAGAGAAATGATCACGGGAGGTCATCAAGCTGATAAAAGACAAGAACAAACTGACAAATCCAGCTACAAAATGCAATCACTTGGTAAAGAGGCTCCCAAGGCCCTTCCAGGAGAGTGTATCAAAGGAAGCTGTACAGAGAAAAACCTTTACAAGTGCAGAGCTTGGCTGTGTGATTACACATACATTACACACACATTCTCATTTACTGCTCTGCTTGGTTATAAGAAACACCATGCCCACATTATACTGTCAGCTTTTCTTTAAGCAGAAGTGTATAATTCACCAAACAACCACTCACAGTGGCAATGTGAAATATTGGTACACATATGCTAAGAGCAAGAACAACTTGTTGCCCTATTAACAATTGAATGTCTCAATTTCTAAACTTGCATGTACATGCCAGAGTGTCAAAGTGAGTGACACTCACTTTGCTTTTTTATTTTTTTCCACATGAAGTATATCCCCTTTCTTATTTTTTTCTTTTGGTGGATTTTTTTTTAACTAAGTTACATCAGAAGAAGAATGTTAAAGTCACCCACTATAAAAAGCATCAGATTTATCTCCTGGGCTGGGAGAACTTGCAGTTGACCTAATAGCACCTTTAGAGGAGGTTGCTTTAGAGCAACCTCAGAGTTTCTGAGACGGTGATTTTTTACAGTTAATGAAAGAAACTAAAAGCCACATGTTTTATCCACTGTAACTTAGAAGAGCAACATTATTTCAAAAGAACCAGAATGAAGCTGTCATCAAAAAGACAACCTCTATGAGAAAAGCCTGGTAGTAAATGACAGAAATGAAGCCAATAGTAACACACAGAAAGTGGGGCAGCATCAGACATCCCCACACCATCTCTTACAGACACCCAGCACCCTCCCTGGGCTGGTGCATCCCTGCAGCTCCCCAGGCATTCTGCTCCAGCCATTCTCCCTGACATAAAGGGGTCCCCATGGGGCACACTGGGACTCTGCCTTACTCCTCTCTTCACAGTGAAAAGCACAGCACAGCCCTCAGGTTCCCTTTTAGGTGCCTATACCTCCTTTCTGCCTTACATTCTCTCCCAGCTTTCCTGGCACAGACCATGAGGTCTTCATTCACAGTCACTGTCCTTCCCCTGCCCTAGACTTGTACATGAATTGATATTCAAAGACCATAAGTGCTGGAACTTTGTCCATTACCCCAGGGAAATAATTTGAACCGAAAACTCCTAGTGACTATCCCGTGACTCCCTTAACTTTTGTTGCAGAAGGAATAAGAAATTTTGGGTTTATTCATCTCCCAACTTGCTAAACATAAAAATGTGCAGGCTCCCCTCACCTCCCAGGTGCTTCAGCAAGGGCTCCAAAGCTCAGCACTCACCAAACATGGAGAGGAGCCCACAGGAAAACCAGACGAGCAGGGAGAAGCCCACGCTGCCAGAGTTTTTCAGGACTCCTTTGGGGGAGATGAAGATGCCGCTGCCAACCATGCTGCCGATGAGCAGCGAGAACGCCCGCAGCAAAGTGATCTTCTTCCTCAGGAAGACGGCCTGTTCTTTCTTGTCTTTCCCCATGGCTTTCTTCCAATCACAGGAGCTTTCTTCTAATCACATTCAGGAGCTACAGTCTCCCAAGTGTCCTCAAGGTTCACCTGTAAGACAAGGAGTTAGGGATTCAAGGATCTTCTTTTTGGGACAAAATTTTTTTCAGTAACTGGACAGGAGCTGTTGAATCTGTTCTCCTCAGCTGCAGGAAGTACCAGCCAAACCACAGGTGAGCAGAACACCCTTGGTATCATCTATCTCATCAGTACAGCTCCCAAGAGACACTTCAAGGGTTTTCTGCTTCTTCTTCCAGGCAGCACAGAGTGTTACATGTTGCATGCCAGCCACACCTCGGGATGATTCCCAAATTTGACTTTGAGTAACGTCAGATTGCCCAGACTGGAACTAGCCAGTTTGGGATTAATTTAATGGGATCTAATAGGGGGATGCTTTGATTTCAGCTCACTGGCAGAAAAGAGATTTAAAGTTGCCAACCTAACCATCAATACCTTGAGAATCTCTGAGATGAGAAAAACATTAAGCTGCATTAGTTGGTGCACAGAGAGGATTTAAGCTTTTTTAACTTCCTATCCACCCTGGCTGAATGAACTAGCCCTGATTTCTCACTAGAGCTCCATTTAATCAGTGTTTCTTAATATAGTGTCAAGCTTTTTTGCTTTCAAAGTACTGCAGAGTCAGGAATAAATACTGTTTACTGTTGTAAGACAGAGCTTAGTCATTACTAACAGATGTGCCATTTCTTCTATTAATATAAAAAATTCCTTGGTAATAACAGCAGCAGTGAAGTTTTTCCTAGAAAAGAAGGAACTTCAGATACTTCAGGGATCACAAGTTGATCCAGATTTAGTTCTCACAAACTGCAGCAACCTCCCACTTCCCCTCCTCATCTCTCCTGTCTCTCTCTATCACCCCTAAATTGGCAGCTTCACCAAGAAACTCACCTTCTGCTTAGGTAGGTAAGATGAATTCAGGTCAGTTACTACAGCCAAATTTGCTGTAGCCAACCTAGCTGTAGTTTTCCTAATAGCAAGGTAGATGTTTTACACTAGTAATTATCCCTGGAAGAGCAGGCAAGACAAGACTGGAGTGGATAATTTGGCTCTTGTCCAGCCTCCTGCCACACATCCCCAACAATGCTCATGCACTCAGTTTCAGTGCTTTTCTTTTCATTATTCTAACACAGCAAATTGCTTTATGGTGAATATTTGCCCTAAGCCCCATGGCTGTATATTATTGCAAAGTTACACTTTACATGAGACCCTATTTTATGGGTTTCTTGAATAATTTAGTAATTGCAGTGGTGTGTACACAAGGAGACAGTGGTCACCTCTAGAGCAGACCTAAGCAGACAGAAATTGCTTCCTTGGTAGAGAGATAAAAATGTTCCCCTAACTTTGAGGGGACAATTCTTGCCACCACTCACCCACGATACTTCTTTGCCTGCCCTGGGTAAACTCAGTGTAACCAAGGTCTTTTCTCCCCCCTCCCCAGCTCTTTTCCCACCTGGAAGCTGGTGGGAGGAAGCAGGGTTATCACTTTCTCTGCACACATATGACAAGCACATGCAGAAAGCCCTTTCTCCTGCCAGCAGCATGAGCTGGTTTCTCTGAGATTGTGCGAAGACTGCACAAGCATCTTCTCAATCAAACCAGCCAAGTTTAGTTATCAAACCTCTAATGAGTCCCATAGGACCCTTTGAGGCTCCGATGGGTCACATCAGCCTCGTCTGGTCCCACAGAGCTGCTCCTCAGAGTCCCAAAACCTCACAGGGCTGCTGGAGACAGTGGCTCTGGAAGAGCAGGGATAGAGCCCAGGGATCCTCCCAGCCCCTCAGCTGCAGTTCCCTCAGACACCAATTAATTACCTTAGTGTGAAATACCAATATTGTCTGGTATTTCTCAGCTGAAGTGAGACCCACACAGCATTCATTTGCAGGGGTGAAACACAGAGCCTCACCAAACCGGAGCTGAGCTGAAGAGAGATGCTGTGCAGAGCTACGTCTAAAGCACCATTCGGAGAGAATTAAAAGTGCACTTATCTGTTTGGCTGGGTTTTAAACAAAGCAGGTGCATTTACAGTCCATCAGACTCCCATTTCTTGCTGGGATCCTGAAGCCACAGAAGACAGCGTCTCTTTGCAGGCTCTGAAATTACACAGAGAAAGCAGGGGAGGAACAAAAAAAAAAAAAAAAAAAAAAAAAAAAAAAAAAAAAAAAAAAAAAAAAAAAAAAAGAGAGATCAAATCAAATTTACAGACCAGGTTAATGATCCAAAGTAAACACCAAACTGTACTTCTGTCCCCATGCCTTTTTTTTCTTTATTATTTTTTATTTTAATACTACTGCCATGCAAAAGTATGTGGACATAAAACAATCCAGTCCAGTAAATTTGAGAAACATGAAATGTATCAGTACTTGTTCCAGAAGGGGTTGAAGGAGGAGGAAAAAAGGTGAAAAAGGGAAAAAAATGTAAAGAGTAACAGAAAGCTATTGAATAGAACTTCAAAGAGTCACCTAGCAGAGCCCACAGCCCAGAGAGACCATTCCTGCCTGCTCTGCTTTCCAGCTACATTCCAGCACCAGGCACATTAAAATTCAGGGATGTTAATCCTTGTGGCAATGCTTAAGAATATTCACAATGTGCTTAGTGCAAAGGAAAGAGGCAAAGCTGCTTTTTGTTCAGCCCTCTGACTTAAAGGACAGGCTCAGACCCTTCTCTCCCAAAATGCAGCACCTTTACACGGGAGAGATCATCAGTCAGCAGGGCTGGAGAAAAACACCACTTTAAGCTATTGCAAAACTTATCACATATACTGGATCTTTCCTTCCTTGTTCTTCATTTACACTGATTTTAATGTTAGTTTGGGGGTTTTTCAGCTGTTAATCTTACCTCACAAGCACTGGAGCAGGGACGGAGAAGGTGGAGACAAGCATAAAGAGAGAACCATGCCTGTTACCTGTAGTGGTGTCTGGAAGCCCCAGCCAAGAGCAGGACCTACTGTGCTCAGCACAGAGGCAGAGTGGATATTACTCTGATGAAAAGCTAGTGAGATAAACAAGCAAGCTGCAAAAGGAGAGGAGGGAGACAGCATCACTCTCAGCTGGGAGCTGAGACCTGGAACAATGAGTGACCTTTCTCTTCCTATCACGCAAGGAGCGAGTGGCATCCCTGGGAAAACAGACTGCACCTCCAGAGTCCCACTTCTATCACCTACCCCCTAAACAGCACCCCAGCTACTAGGGAATCTTCCTAAATATTTACAGCTGTATTTTCTTTGCATCCTCAATCAATGTCATATTGCCAAGAACAGGTTAACCCCTTCCTTTTTGTACTGCAAAAGATGCAGGTGTCAAACTTTCCTCGCAGTCTCGCTATTTTTTTTCTTTTTGGTGCCAAAAATGTCACTCCAATTCAATGTCTACCACAAGGCACAGAATCTAACTAAATAAAATCAGCAGTGAATGGGAGCTTTTTTATTCATGCATGAAAGTAACATAAATAAGCTTTAATGAGGCTGGTGGTGGTCTGTTCTGGGAACTCAATCAGAAAATCTATTTAGGAGACCTGAGAGATGTTTGTTTATAGACCAAAATGAACACAAGAAACAGGCTGAAAGGACAAGACATGCAGCTCAACTTCTTTTCAGCATTCTGCAGCTGGTTTGCCACCCTGGATAAGAAACCAAAAGGGACAGTAGTTAATAAATCAGTCTCAGGCTTGCAGCCCCAGATGTAGTAATAAATCCATGCAATTGCCTTAGGTGTAAATGTAAAAATAATTTCCATTGGCTTCTCTTTCTACAGAGTTTCACAAATATCATCTTGTGAACTGTCTATCAAAACACTACTATTTCCTAACACTTCTGTCTAAATGAAAAATTTTTTTGCCTTGACAGCAAAATTGCTTTTGGCTCAGGTCACAGAATTTCTGTCATCTCATTTAGGCATTTCCAGTTGTCCTTCCAACAGGGGTGATTTTTCTGGAAAACAGGCTGATGGTATGGTGAGTCTGGACTGCTTGATAATATGAGGATGACCTTTTAATTGAGAACTTCAAAGTGTGGAATCCACACTTTGGCTAAAAATTGGACTAAACCAAGACCAAGATCTTCAAGCAGCTAAATTCCTGTTGGCTTGAGAGTTCCTTACTACCAGGATTTATATTCTGCACCAAGTTTAAAATTCTTCATTATGACCAGTCTGCCAAAGCAGACAAATGGAGATGTTTTATAACCATAGTGCTACTGATTTCCAGGATGCATGGATCATACACCATCATCTCACTTTTCTATGCATCCATAACTCTCCATTCAGCTGCCACAAGGAACTTGCCCTTCTGTGTATCCAGAACTGATTCCCCATTAATGTTGTTGTGCAGGAGCGTTGGCCCTTTCATGAGTATTTCTTCCTCACATGTTGCCAGTGACATGTAAAACACAAATCTGGAGAGATGCACACCTGGTTAAAAAAGATTCCAGTCTTCTTCCACAGCACCAGCTATTAAAGATTGTCAGGAAAGAGCACCAGCATCCCTATAAGATGAACTAACATGATTCCTCTTTCTTACAAGCAGGAGCTGAGAATGCCCAAGGCACTTGCCTCCCAGTGCATCAGATCCAAAGGAGCAGCAACACCCAGAGCACCAGGCACTGGAGCACATGAATCCTAGGACAAGAAAGAAACAAAACACTTAACAAGAGACTGTCTCACATAGTTGTGTTTCCTGAGGCCAACATCTTGGCTCTACATTATCTCTAGTGGGGCACAGTGCAGGGAAGTGTCCTCAGAGCTTTGTTCTTTTGTGGACAGTCCTCCAAGTAGCAAGCTGTTTTCACTCTCCAGATCAGACCTCCTCCCTGGAACAAGACAATTTGTCCTATTAAAAACTGTTTTCTTAGCTGCGTAAGACAGAACACAAACAAAAATAAATCTAAATGTTTCTAGCAGAAGACACCCAACAGAGAAGTCTAATGTTGTAGCAAAGTACAGCCAAACTTTCCCCAAATGAGAATTCTTCTCATGCACTTTAAATTTAAAAAAAAAAATCCAGAGAGAAATATCCCTCCTCATTCCAATGGTTTGTGGCACTGCATCAGTGCTGAGGTCTGGGGTTTGTCTGCCTTTGATCTGAGATTGGGCAGTGCCAATGCTCAACAGCTCTGCTCCTGCAGGGGAAATTCCTCCATGAACCAGGCCTTTGAGGGCTATAAAGGACATTGCTTCCCAGCCACTGCTTGGTGACTTAGGACAAAACAAGTTTGAGAGACTCAGGCTGCTCCATGGGAGCTGTTACTCATCCCTGGGGCTGCTGCAGTGGGCTCTTCATCAAGGCCAGCATTCCCATCAGCAATAGGCCCATGGCACCATCATCCAGAGCCAGGCAGTGCTCTGGAGCTGCACACTGATCCCTAAGCCTCTCCATAAACATTCTGCAAGAACAAGACCCATCACCTGGATGGGGGAAAATGCCAAAATGGCCACGCTCATCACCAGCTTTCCTCACCAAGAGGTAATTTCTCGCTAATACCAGCTATCTTATCCTGCTACAGGTCTCTCCTGGTGAAACTCCTGCTGGAGACAGAAGAAACCCTCTGCTGCTTGTGCTGTTGTCAGATGGTGGGCCCCACCAATAGGGGTTCCTGATCTACCCTGCTTTAACCATCTGGAATGGAATCCTTTGAGAGCTGACTGAAGTAATAAAATTCTTCTTTCTGTATTGCTTCATATATTACATTAGTTTCCCCCTCAATCTCACTGCAGTGCTGATGATTTATCACCTCAGGCCTCCAGTTCCCCCCAGACTCGACCTCAGAGCCTGAGTTTGCTCCTTCTCTTCCCACCTTCAAGGAATTCAAAATGAAATTTAAACATTAAAAAACAACAACCCTTTGCACCTGCATTAGTCACTCACTCTGGTTGCTACACAGTCTAATCCACAGTTAAACCTCAGTGTTTTATGCTAAATCACCCACTCTGGCACCTGACCCACACACAGCCCAACCTCTGCCTTGAACATACCCCAGGGTGGGGGGAGTCTCTCCTTTTGGCCTTTCTGCTCAGCTGTTATTCATTTAATAAAATATAAGCCAAATATACAATTATGCTGGAAGGAACATGTTTCCTTGTTAGGCCTTTTTGGCTCTTATCCAGCAATTTGCAGGCAATGGGGATTTATATTTTACTACACAACATTTCAGATTAATTTCTTACCATTTTCCAGGCCTCTGATGGAAGGAAGGGGAACAAGAAGGGTTTTCTCTGACCCCAACCTCACCCCCAATGGGACAGCACAGGAACACACGTCCTGGTCTGTCCTGGCTAACAGGGAGCAGTGACTTGTAATGACAGCATGTGTCTTTTTATATAACATGGCACCATATCATCTCAGGCAGTGCAGCCCCTGCCAGCTCCCCAGCGCTAAAGGGATGGCACCAGAAACTAATCAAACACCTAAGTCCTATTTTTTTCAGGTAACACACATGTCAACCCCCATTTTCACTTGTATTTAGTGAGAATCGGATTCTAGGAACAAGCATGTCAACAAAACCAGATCAACATGCTCACTGGGGAGGTTAAGTCAACACAAGGGCATGTTTATTCAATTTTAATGTAAGGACAGTCATGGAGGTATCTGCTGGGAAGGATCTCAGGGTCCCTCTGGCCCTGTCCCCCATAAGAAGCAGGATTGTTGCCAACACTTGCTCAGATCATCCCTTGCTTTGTTTAGCAAGGCTTAAACCCCCTCCAGAGCCCCTGACCTCTCTTGGTAACCTGTTCCACTGCTGCACCCCCATCCTGTGGAGAAGCTTCTCCCAAAGGCCACTCAGAACATCCCAAGAACTGCTTGTGGCTACTCTCCCCACAGCCATATCCCTCCAGAGGTCTCCAGGAGCTCCCCTCACAGAGCAGCTCATGGCAGCCTTTGCTGATGGTACTTGCCACCCCTCCCTCTCCAGCAGCCAGGGCTCCAGCAGCCCCCAGAGATTCACTTCTCTTTGGGTTTCCCTGAAGTCTGCGGACTCAACACTGCTGCAAGTTGTGATTGCTGAAGTACAGAGAGCTGCAGGAAATGAAAGGCACCAAATGGATGTTCCCCCCCAATCTAGAGGCTCCAGCTTGCCTCTGATGTCCCCTGAGCCAGGGGACTGAAATAACCTTCAGCCTTGGAAACTCTATTTTTGGTACTTTTTTCCCCGCCTCCCTCTCCTTTTTCCATCCTGGACTTTGAACCTCCCTAGATCTTGTTGGCCTGATTGCATCATTCCTGGCAGGTAAGGTCAGCGTGAATGGAAGGAAGTACAAACAGCACTTCACACAGCACCAGCAGCAGGGAGAGCCTGCAGCCAGCAGAGGTTATGGACCCAGTCAGCTCGAATAAAGACCTGCATCAGTGGAGGGGCAGGAACTACACCAGGATTGTTCATGTTGAAACAGGGGTCACTCCATCTCCTGCTTCAGAGGCAAATCTGAGCCCTGTGGGATGTCTCAGGAGGAGATTTCCTTTGCACATTGCACTGAGCCAGGGCAGCCCAGCAAGGCTCCACTGCAGGCTGCACAAAAGAAGAAATACCACGTGCTTTCTTTCCCTTGTAGCTCAGCACAGATGCAGAATACACATGGAGAGAGGAAAGGAGCACTTTCCCTCACAAGACTCAGGGTCACCCTGTGAGGCCCTTGGATCTGGGGTCACTGTGGCCAGTGCCAAGGAGTCACCACCCTGAATATGGAAAATTTGAATTCAGCTCCTCTCATGGATGCCTTGGAACAATATCAGCCAGTGTATCCCTAGCTCCTGGCATCTCCACCTGGCTCCATCTGCTTCAAACCTCTGCTTGTTTCTATCCCCAGCTGACTTGCCATGTGAGACAAAGAGAACAAGAGGACTGCTCAGGGCACCTACAGCTCCCCAGGTAGTCAGGGCAAGGAGAGCATTACCTGAGGAAGGTCACTGCTCTGGCAGGGCTGCAGCACTCTCAGCAGTGCTGCTTGCCTCGTGGGACACCCTCTCCGTGGCATCAGTGCTTTGGGAGAGGTGCCTCATGCAAGTGAGAACATTGCAAAATTCAGGACATCTGTACAAATTCCAGATTGATGCAGCTGCTGAAATGTAATTATGAAAAGTATTAGCCATTGAATTGAGAAGGCATTACAAAACATCCAAGGAGAAAGAAAATAAACTAGCATGCTGTGATTGATGTAAGCACGTAACAGCCTCCACATGTCACTGGGACCAGCACAGGCTGCACTAGCTGAGGCTCTCCTTCCAGAAATGGAAAAACTTCCAAGGGGAGCAACTACACAGCTGGGGCCAAGCCCTTGTTCCCTGTCACAGTGCTGGTGAGCCATGTGGGCCTCTACTGCCACACAAAGATGGGTTCTTGGGGCAAAAGGTCTCTGGCCACAGTTTGGGCTTCTGCACTTGTTAAAGCTTGGGGCTGAAACATAATATGTCAATTGCTGGCATAAACAGATGTCAGGAATACTCCTCAGTCCTGTTCAGAATTGGACCTCTGGGCCACCAAGAGTATTTGCTTTCAATCAGCAGATATGGAGCATCCCCAGACTCCACCACCACTACCAGGAGCTGCCAGTCCCTGCCCGCCACTTTCCACCCCACTGCAGCCTCAGATAACTGCTGACCTGGCCCTTTGGTGCTGGGCTCTGGAGAGATTCAGGGACAAACAAAGAGGGAGGTCATGGTCAGTGCTGCTCCCTGGACTCACCAACGTGGCCAAGGTTGTCAAACAATCACCCTCTCCTCTCCCAGTGTCTCTTTGGATGCCCCCAACAGGCATCCCAGTACCAGTTTGGTGGGAAGTGCTACCATTCCAGCTCCAACAGCCCAGATCCAAGCCCCAGGTCAATGGGTCATGCATTATGCAACTGTACTCACATGCAAAACACATCTAGCCTCCTGCTGTACTCTCATGAAGTATATCCAGAAAGAAGATGCAACATATCCTGCATGTCAGTGGAGACAAGACAGTAGGAGCAGTATTAAGAGATTATTCCACATGTATCCAACTGTTTCTATTTAACAGGTGGCTGCTCAGCAGCAGGTACAGAGGATACTAAATCACTAAGTCCTGGCAATCCCTGTAACTCTCTCATCCCTCCCCAGCCACCTGGTGTTCTTTTGGGTGAAGGAAAAATGAAGGAAAATGTTTCTTGGGTTTTTTTCCCCTTCCTCCCCCACACTCTTTTTGTTTTATTCTGAGAAATGCAAGCTAGAAAGGCACCAGCAGAATGCCACAGACAGGAAGATGATGGAGAAGCAAACCATAATTTCAGTCCATGGAGAAGCCAACAAGTCTTTCCACAGGTTTCAGCAAGTTTTAGGTAAAGACCTCCAGGGTAAGGAAGGAAAGAAAACAGAAACCCTTGCACTTTGATCATACCCTGAAGCAGTGAGGAGCCCGGGATCCTTGAGGTGAAGCTTTGGGGGTGCTCTGTGCCAATGCCATGGGGAGAGAATGGAAGATGTTTATCCATGAGACAGAATGAGCCAGCAAGTACATCCAGCAGTGAGATGGTTTTTCTAGGAGGCCTTGGAGACAGCTTGAGGGTTCTGCTGCTGAGCCAGGCTTTCTGCAGCACAGGCAGAGCCCCTGGCACTGAGCCCTGCAGCTGCACAGGGTCTGGCACGAGCCAGCAGGGCCAATCCTGCCGCTGCCACCCGCCCGCTCCAGCCATGGCATCCTCTTGCATCCTCTCAGCAGGAAAAGCTGAGAAATAGGCACCACAGGACAAACCACAGGAAACACAGCCCTTTCTGGGACAGAAGGGACTTGTTGTACAGCACATGCCGTAGACATTGGGACACAGAGGAGGGGGTGTGGATTTGGCACTTGAGCGCAAATGCTGTGTCCCTGCTGTGCCACAGCACTGGCTGCCTTACCCTTAAATATTTTGGTTATTCATCTAAGGGTACATGTTCTGAAATATGTAGTTGTCAGGCTTTTCTGGAAGCTCCTCAAATGCAGAACACCTTGGTCCTTCCTCCCAGACAGCTTCCACCTGCAGGGAAAGACAACTTTGTCACTAAAAGCCTCATTTTCAGCTGCCACCAACTGTTCATCTCTGCAAAGCAAGCAGCCAGGGCCACTTTTCTTCCTGCTTTGCTGTTGGTTCTTCAGAGCAAGGAATTGTTGAGCATGAAGGCAGCACAGACTTTGGCCAAGCTCTGTGCATGCCACAGCAATGCCTATGTGCACATTCTCGTTCCTTACTTCTCTTTGGACAGGGTTGTCTTACAAAGGACTTGGGGCAAGCACAGATACAATGCCAGCCCCCCGCTAGGTTTTGGTGTCTCCTGAAAAGCCCAGAGCCTGAGCATGCCAGCTCAGGTGTTTAATACCTGACTCACAGGAACATGGTGGGAAAGGCAGTGCAATTTTGTGGCTGTATTTTCATTTGCTGTGTTTTCAGAGCAGCTCCTCTCCTTTGGTAGACAGCGGGAGTGGGCAGGTAAAGCTGCTTCTGAGGGAAGCAAGTGTCTCACCTCTCAAGTGTCTCACTCCAAAGACAAAGGCAGGGGACACACAAGTGAGAGCAGCAGCTCTGGAAAGGGAATCAACAGGGGAATTGGAGATTAAAACATCAGATTGAAAGGAACAATAAATCCTTGTTGGGGAATATAAATGGGGGGTAGAGTTGGAACAGAATGCAGCTCAGTAATGAGGCAGATGGCATTTTCTTTGGAATCTGCAAATCCATTTGGGCTTTCTAGCAAACAAAGATGCCACACTCTCCAGAAGTCAGCTTGATACATGACCTGCCTCCCCCTCTGCTTTCAGTGACAAAGCTGCTGGAATGAGCAGCCCTGGCAGAGCCCAGCTGGTCCAGCAGCACAGGCTGAGGTCAGTCTGCTCTCACAGCCAAGTCCCTGCTCTGCCTGGGCCACAGGGACAAGGTGAGAGCCAGGCTCAGTGTCACAGGCAGGGCCCAGACACGAGGGGCTCTCTAGAACCATTGAGGGCTTGGGGCATCTGGCAAAACACTGTCCTTGTTTTGGCTGTGGCTCCTCATCACGCAGGACAGCTCCAGCCACGTGGTTTGCATCTGCAAGGGCTGCAGGCAGTAGTGCAGAGCATTCCAGGATAGGACACCCCTGGAGCAGGGATGTCTCTACCAGCCATCAGTGCTCTGGCAGTGCTGAGGCATTCTTGCAAAACACTTCCAGGGAAGGAGAGGGAGGAAAACCAGCGAGCTGCAGATGCTCACATCAAGCCCCCCACCCCTCAGTTCCCTGTATTTCATTAGGCAAATAATGCTCAGGGTCAATAGCATCAGCCTCTTTCCTGGAAATGAAATAGCTACAGCCAACTCTCATAGCCAGGCTGGGGATCCAGGGGGGCAACAGAGGTCCCTGCTCTGCAATCAGCTTATTTTGGTGTCTTCAGCACTGCATTGCTTCTGTGTCTCCTTTTTGCTGGGGTTTGGGTGACACACGTGTATGAGATGGGGCAAGAGCTCCCACCCACACATTCCTCATGCCATTCCTTGGCAAAATACTCTGGAATAAATGGGTATCAAGCAGTGCATCTGCTCTTTGAAATTCACCTTTCCCATCAGCTGGCATGGGCCCTCCCTGACTAGCAGTCAGCTGACACCACAGCAGAGGCACAGGCACAGAGCTCACCTCACAGCATTTTACAGAGCCCCTTCTGATGCAAAGAGCCAAGACTGGGCCACATGCAACAATTGTAGACTGGCATTGTGTGCCTGCAAATGCACAAATGAACTTCCCTCCTCTCTGGCTGCACATCCATTTTGTGCTATCACCAGTTTTCCATGGGCCATCAGATTTAGCTCTTGCATCTTCCTCTCATGTAGAAGTTTTCATCATGCTTTGGGCTCAAGCTCTCTGACACTTCATAACCACCTCTGGCCCTTTATTTCAGGCTGTTGGCTCACAGAGGGTGCTGTGTTTCTGGCTGGAGCTGGCACTGCACCCAGTGTTAAGAAAAATCCATCTGTAAGCAAGCAAGGTCAGGGCATTTTCTGAAAAGTAACAACAAATAGGCAGGCATTATTTAAAATGCATCTCAGACCTTCAGTCACTAAGGTGCTCTGCTTTATCAGCCTTGCTTGCAAAGGACTGAGTACCAACCCCTGTGCTTATGTTTTTTGATGCTCCTGCCTTGTATGAAAAGATGCTTCAAAACACCTCTCTGTCCCAACTTCAAAAAATTAAAAATTTAAAAGACACAAAAAATTGTGCTCCAGTCATAGAAAAGCAATGCAAATCCCCATGAGCTGACTTTTTCCAGGGAGGTTCCTTACCTCTAACACTGCTGATAGAAAGTCAATGTTTAACAGAGCAGATGCCACAGAGATACACTTCTGTTTCTGGAAATAAACCTGAAGGCCATACTGGACATGCCCTCACATCCCCAGCATGAGAACCTTCCCACATGGCCCCAAGGACAGCCAGAGCTGCATCCCAGAAAGCTGGCTGGGTTTAGTTGAGGAGACATGAGGGAGAATAACACAGTAAATTGCAGTCCTGAAAAACTGCAGTAATTTCAGGGTCTACATAAACATTCTTCCAAAAGACACTGCAAAATCCAAGGGACAAGTGCAACCTAAACTTTCTCCAAGCATTTCAGTGTGGAAAACAAGTTGCAGAGCAGAGGTTTTCCAAAGTTTAAAGTAGCAATAAAGTGCCTTCAGGGGTAACAATTCCTCAGCCCAGCTGAACAACACATGGCTTTCTAGAACTGGTGAGACACGACATGTGTAGCTTTCACTGGGAACCATATTTTATTTCTTCACTTCTTTTGAATTCCCTCCAATCTTTTCATTTTAGTGACAGATAGATTGCAAGATGGATCCCAACAAAGAGATACTTGGACTTTTTCTTTCTTTCCTGTGACACTCAACACTCACTTTAACCAACAACCATAAACCCACAGTGAAGATGTCATTGGATTCTCACCTGTGCTTCCTCAAGGAGTGAAGGCCTAAAAACTGATGATGGTTCTAAAATCCTTCTGAAAGTTTTACAGCATGCACAAACACCTGTGGAGTGAAGCAGGCATGGGGAACTCTGTCAGGCAACCTGGAGCAGGAAAGCTGCAGGGAAGATCCAAGAACCAAGAGAAAAATCAAAGGCTGTAACACATGACACAGGGAAACCCAGCAGGAAGAGGCATTTGCTCTGCCTTCACATGGGTATCTTCAACCACTGACAGCAACAGCCAGCACTACAATGCTGGATTTCTGATAGACAGGACTGCTGAAAACTCCAAGCCTACCAGAATAGCACAAACCACCTACATATCCAAAACACAAAAACTGTCATGAGTTGGTATTTTCACTTCCCTCCTCTCTCCCACAGCCTTGTCCCCAGAAAAGCTATTGAATCAAAAAAAAAAAAAAAATTTTTGGTGTTATTTTAAGGCAGTGGCTATTTTAAGCTCAAGTTACTTTGAAATAAAAATAGAATTGTTTGCTTCCCCCTCCCTCCCCCCACTGAAGGAGAGCAGTATTAAAACCTTATCTCCTTTCACACACAACATAGGTGCAAGGAATTTGTATTTTCCCTGCAGAAGAACGCTGTGGGAAATACACCCCATACACATCTCCTGAGTTCAAGGGAATTGGAGGTAAACTTGAGGACCAGCTGAGAGATGCAATAAAAAGATTGGCTTTATTCTATTGTAGGAATATCCCTTTGACTGTGACCCTGCCATTTCAGTCATGATTTCTCTGGGGTACCTCGTGCCTAACATCTCCCACTGTACATCCCTGAGAGCAAAGGAAGTGCTGGCCTGCAAAGCTGTCGCTGTCCTTTGTTTCCACCGGATATTTTCAGGGTAGCACAGAAAAAGCAATCACATCTGGGACCACCCCAAGGGGCTGCTGGCAAAATTCCAGAGGCTCCACAGAAGCAGCAGCAGATTGTGGATTTCGGGGCCCTGGGCAGGATGTCTGTTTCCACAATGGCTGGGGAAGGAAGCAATATAAAGGGAGATAGGCTGATAAGAGCTCAGCTATGATAAAAAGGACTCTGTTCAGTACTGATTTCTTTCAGCAAGAAGAAAGGTACCCACAGTCACTGGGTTACAGACATCAGTGTCTTGCCTCAGTGAAAAGGGAATGGGTTCGTCTTGAGGCAATGTTGAATACTAGATTTTAAAACAAGTACAAAAATAGAGAGCAGAACAGATGTGACAGACAATGAGTTCTTCTCATTCATCCTGCAATTTTGCAGAAAATTGTTAAAATAATTTCTTCATCAGTTTCAATACTGATGGCTGTATCCTGTTTTGTCATAGAAGAGGAAAATCAGCAGCTGCAAGGTGAAGCTCTGTGCTCTGTGAAATCAGGCATCATTTCCACAATAAAAACTTCCAGGCTTTAACTTACAAATTTGTTCTGCTGCCCTGGATAACTGGGAACATTCACATTAGTGAAGAGAGTGGCATTACTGACTGGCCTATAAAGAGCTTTACTAAAACTTTAAAAAGCACTGTACCATGGGAACACTCCCCTCTTCTGGCTGCCAGCTGGTGTTTATG